TAATGTTGAATTTCAAACTTTGCGTTCCGATTTGTACTTTAAGTGCCATAGGATTTAAACCTCAATGACCAAATTCTTACAGCTGCACAATGAATGTCTAACGTAGTTTTTCGCATCAGTTTTCCGTAGTTTTCCAGTGGGTCGTTTAGGCCTTCAAAAGCCGGATACGTAAATAAAATTATAAGTAGCCCTAAGGTCTTTAAACTGACATAATATATCACGGATCACATGTCTGGATGACCACTAGTACCTATGTGATAGTTTCCACGAGCTATACAGCGCTATTTTCTGTGTCGGTAAAGTGAGCTAGTCGCTGGGACAACACGAAGGGTCTATAGAACTAAATGAATACTTCAATGAAGATATAAAGAAAGCTTACTTTTCCTCCATAAGCTGGCTTTATCTTTTTGAATTTTGCATTCACCACTGCTCACTCACGCCAGTCTGATTCCATTTGACGAGAACGTTCCAATGAAGCTTTCTTGTTGGTATTTGCTGGTCTCTTTGCACCTTGCTTATTTTTATTTTATCAAGCAGTGGGTGGGCTGAGGCTCTCTTGAAGATGAAGGTGAAAAACGTCCGTGGGATGAGTAATAAAAGCACTGTTTCAACGATGAGCTACAATCAGAAGCCCGAAATATAATTAAGCAATAAACGGTGCAGTACCAGTGCAGAGCGGAGCACCTCATGTGCTGTGCCGGACTGCTGAATTCCTAAAACAAAGCAGCTATTTAGCTTCAATGCGTCACACCGCACATGACGTCACATTCTGACCAATCGCGTCACCGTTTGATGGTTGCCCTCTACTCACACCTGGGAGGAAGATTTTGTGCATTGTTTAAAAATTGATTGCGAAAAGGTGTATGCGGCATATGTGGCGTCAGTCAGTGAACATTGTGCAAGCTTAATGGCTAACCGTAGTCATTCTCGCCTCCGCATGTCGTCGTCACCTAGCACATCACGCATAAAACATATCCTGGCCGAAGAGGGCCTTGAATTTAATGCATTCATTCAAGTTCAGATAATATTTGATCTGTCCGGTCCATGAAGGATGTGGTCGTGGATGTCTCTCTTTTTAGTACGATCTGCCTACACTATGTGGAGGAACCATATGGTGACCAAAAAACACCACATAAGTGATTAGGTACGCTCGGAATCATTGTAAAAATAACTGTTGGGCCCGCCCGACTTCGTTACAATGGCCTTGGCCCTAGGCCCTGCCATCGTCATGGCCGAAGTGGCCGTCTTGCCATCAGTGCATGCGGCCACGGCGCAGGACAGATGACGTCGACTGTGGCGTCTGCTGCGCGCCCCACGCGCGAGAATGGAGCGCCTGTCCTCTCTGTGGCCATCCGTCTCCACATGTGGTGCCGCACCGCCACCGGTCATCTTCCCGCAATGCCCCGGCACATGCCTTATCGCTTTATTTACGCATGTGTGACTCGCTCGTGAGCGAGGCACGCGCCCGCGGAAAATCCGAGTCGCCGATTCGGCGTGGACGGAATCAGCGAGACGCACGATAAGCAGATGATGCCATCGAGCCAGGCGGATGCGGCAGCATTAGGCGCACCGCCGCTGGCTTGCCCGATCATCGCGTGGGGGAGGGGGGAGGGGGCGTGAGCTGGCAGAAAACATCCGGCACAATATGGACGGCTTAAAATGCGCGGACACCAGTCCCGTCGCGAATAAAAATTCTAAAATCGACAACACAAAGTGTGAAGAACAGTGCATAGGGAAACAGCGGTATTTATGCCTATGCTCAGGTTGCGAAAGCATCAGTATATGCACGAAATTGACGTATAATCGAGCCATTTACAGGGCACATTTTCATAAAATCTAGAATGAAATCGAACACTTGAAATCAAACTGTGAAGCATTGGGACGTTGCTGACATTACCAATGTTTCCTCGAACTCCGAGTCATAAACCATTCGTAAAAAGGCGAATATAATAGCCGGAACGCCCGGCGCCGTCCAGCAAACCATCTCCATGCGCGGCCCCGCTCCGCCAGCCATCTCCAGGCCCGGCGTCGCTCCGCCAGCCATCTCCATGCCCGGCGTCGTTCGGCCAGCCATTTCCATGCCCGGCGCCGCTCCGCCAGCCATCTCCATGCCCGGCGCCCTCGACCGGCCATCTCTATACCAGATGCCGCTCGGCGATTATCTCCATGCCCGACAGCGCCCGGCCAGCCTTCTCCCCGCCGGGCGCTGCTTGGCCGGAGGCATTTAGCAGCGGCTTCTTCCGCCTCCGACAGCGCCGGCCAGACGGGCGCGGCCGTCAAAAGTTTCCAGATAAACAGGTGGAGCCGTAAACATGCCATTCATCTTGCCGCCTGAAGCCGGCTCCAAAGAGATCACGGCCGTCGGTCAGAAAGGAAAAGAACCGGCATCTGAACCTGGCTAGGGCTCCGGCCCGGTTTCAGCCCAATTCATCTTCAGCTCAGCCCCAGCCCATCTTCAACCCAGCCCTGGATTGAGTTTTCATAGCTGTGAATTCGGCCGTCCTAGCTTTAGAGGACGTATGCTGTATGCAACTGGTTCACAGCTGCATCGGGGTTTGCATATATGTGACTCGACGAGAGCCCAGCCCGTGTTGTCGCCAATCAAACGCTGCGTGCGCTGACGTCTTCGGGCCTGACACATGAATAAATCAGCTGAAGAAGTGTCCGTAGCTGTAACTGATCTCTGGAACGTATGCGATGCTCAATGTTTGAAGCTTGTTGCTTGCACTTGCTTTGCATGGTTACAATTGGACCATTCAATGTGCAAAAACCGGGTAAAAATCGTTTGATTCCATAGGTGGCATCGTATACTTGTCCTTGAAATGTCTGAAATGCCCTCACAAGGCAATATGTAGTCATGAGCATATCCAATTCGCTTGTACGTTGTCACGACTGACAGCTCAAACGTAGGATTTGTCGTGGATTCTACTGGATCAAAACTAGAGGCAAATTTTCTTAGATCCAAATAGCGACATACGGCCTGGAATGTCTTTCTATTCCACCGTCAAAAGTTCCATTCTAAGCTACTACGCGTCCGCCGTATTGCACGCCGGTCGTATTACACGCCACCAGCCCGCCCGTGGCCTGGAAGGGTTGCCGGGGACCTGCAGTGTCCATGACTAGTATCTGGTCTGGAGAGGCTGCCGGACCCGTGGCGGATATCTGGTCTGAGGGGACTGCCGGGGATATGATAGGTATCTTCCTGGAGGGACTGCCGGCCACGCGACGGGTATCTGGCCTGGGGGGGCTGCCAGGGACACAACAGCGTCCGTGACGGGTATCTGGTCCGGAGGGGCTGCCGGGGGCACGACAGCGTCCGCGGCGGGTATCTGGTCCGGAGGGACTGCTGGGGGCACGACAGCGTCTGTGGCGGGTACCTGGCCTGGAAGGGCTGCCGGGGGTCGTGGCGGGCATCTGGTCTGAAGGGGCTGCCGGGGACATGACAGGTATCTAGCCTGGGAGGGCTGCCGGGGGCACGACAGCATATGTGGCGGGTATCTGGTCTGGAAGGACTGCTGGGGGTCGTGACGGGTATCTAGCCTGGGAGGGCTGCCGGGGGCACGACAGCATCTGTGGCGGGTATCTGGTCTGGAGGGGCTGCCGGGGGTCGTGACGGGTATCTAGCCTGGGAGGGCTGCCGGGGGCGCGACAGCATCTGTGGCGGGTATCTGGTCTGGAAGGGCTGCCGGGGGTCGTGACGGATATCTAGCCTGGGAGGGCTGCCGGGGGCACGACGGCATCTGTGGCGGGTATCTGGTCTGGAGGGGTTGCCGGGGGTCGTGACGGGTATCTGGCCTGGGAGGGCTGCTGGGGACGCGACAGCGTCCGCGGCGGGTATCTGGTCTGGAAGGGCTGCCGGGGGTTCCGGCCTGGAAGGGCTGCCGGGGGCACGACAGCATCTGTGACGGATGTCTGGTCTGAAGCGGCTGCCGGTGACACCATGGCGTCCGCGCGTCACGATGATTGCAGCTCCCTGACCCGTCTTGGGTCGGTGTCGGATGACACGTTTCCCTGCGGGGCGGCACCCCGCTTCCTCCAAACGGAAACCACAGGCCGAGCGTGGCACGCAGGCAAACCGTGTGAAACGTGTTTCTAAGCAGCCGGCACCCCAGGGTGTAAATGGTTAACAATGCTGCGAATTGCGAAGTGTGGAACTGGACAATGTTATGACCTGCAACGCTTAATTGCATCAATCCTATTAACCTTCTCACCAGCATTGCCAGATGGAAGCTCACGGTCTACTGCGCTCTCAGCAAGCACGTCGTGAAAAATGGTGCGCGCAACAGTGTGTTGTTTTATTTAAATCGAGAGCTATTTAGAAAATCGAAACGCTCCCCATGTGCTCAAAAGGTACACCTTCACAAGTCAATGTCTATAGACATTGTAAATGGTATCATGTCTTGTAGGAGGCATTATCCATGCTTTTCACTTCCGACAAGTCCTCTCTACAGGAACTCTGAGCATGCCGTCATGCGAAAATCTACTCGGGTTGTCCGATCTGTGGGAGAATCCAAGCCCCTAAAACCGCGCTTGGAGCAGCAGGTAGTTATTTATCCGAAAACCAGGCCTGGAAAGAAATGACTCTGATCTTTCACTGCCTTAGCGGGGATCGTGCCGTCGAACGGCCATTCGGCCCGCATAGGCCAAGGACTGACTTAGCCTGTGTTCTGTCATCTTACTTGTTATCACGAAATGACTCTGATCTTTCACTGCCTTAGCGGGGATCGTGCCGTCGAATGGCCATTCGGCCCCCATAGGCCCAGGACTGCCTTAGCCTGTGTTCTGTCATCTTACTTGTTATCACGAAATGAACCGCGTAACTGGGGCGAAGCGCCATTTAGCCGAGCGTTTCCGGAGGATCCTGGGCCCCGTGAACGACGGATCGGTGGACCCCGCTGACTCGTCGGCCGGGTGAGGTCACGTGACCGGCGCCCGTCGGCCGCCGAGATCGACTCTGGCTGCTCCGATGCGGCCGTCGGCGCCCAGTCGTCGACGCCGGCGTGCAGGGGGCGGAGGTGGAGCCCGCCGCGCTGCCAGGACAAGCCACAGTTGACGGTCAGTGCAGAGCTCGGCGGCACCGGGCCGGTGTCAGGCGTTGTTCAGTGTTTGGCTCCGCGAGAGTAGGTCGGTTACCGGAGGCGGGCGGTCAGTACAGAGGTCTGTTTCATTGAACCTGCCCAGGAGATGACAAGAACCGGAGATTGTATGTCATTTCCTGCGTCCATGTCCTGCATATCATGATAGTTCATCTTCCCTGTGGGCAGCTCTGCTCTCAGGTGTAGGTACCAGATCGTGCGGTCAGCCAAAGCCTGAGCACCGAATTCGTTTGGTTAGTCAGTACCGTTTCTGTGGCCGTTGTAAATTGTTGTACTGAGGTCAGCACCAGCTTAAGTACAAAATAAAGCAGGCGGTTTAAACTCCAGTGGTTTGTATACATACATACATATATATATATATATATATATATATATATATATATATATATATATGCATACGGGAGTCGCCATATCGATCATTTCCATTTTACAGACAACGGCAAAACTGTGAGGTTCGACAAATGCGTGGTAAATACTCCGCTGGTCATGATCGACGCAGTCCTTTATTTGATCTTGCATCTACATTGTCACTGAAGTCGGTAAAAACTGACCAAACAGATCTAAATCATATGGCTGTGCTAAATGAGCCGATGCCTACCAGTGGCCCTGGCATTCAAAGATAAAGAACAATATAAGGTATTACCTTCTGCTTTCAGCAAAACGCTTTGAATAAACAGCAGTACACTTTTAACAACAGCCCACGGACTTTTTGCGCAAGGGACGGTACCATCCTCCTGACGATAATGGACTTCGAGCGATGTTTCTGAAGGATCGAAGTCGGGAACACGATGCTTTACCGAACCGTGGCTTCTACATTGCGGGGTAATGGTTCTGTTCTGGGTTGAAAAAGTTCCATTTCTGTCATTGAAGAAATTCGGAATCGTCTAAATTGCCGCTTGGAGCGAAATATTTTAGAAACCGCTGCAATATAACTCTAAAGGCATTACATTAGAAAAACAAAGACAAATAAAATGCAATGCGGCATAATAATGAAGCATTTTCGTTTCGGGAGTTAATTTGCCCTTAAGTATCACTTGCTGGCCATCAGTCGCTGAATGATGATTGAGACCAAACTAAAAAAATTATTAAATGCACGCATACTTAATATAACCATTCAAGTGGCGTATAGTTCTTAGGTTGTTCTTCTCAGGTCTCAGTTCTTCTCAGGTTGGTGGTGCGGATTTCGCCTCCCAGCCAAAAAGATGAAGCCTCCTGTTTTCACTCATCACCTGTATACACCATTTTTTATAAACCGCAATTCTTACGGTTCAGCCCCCACATCTTATTTTGAGAAACTTTACCCCTGCTCCTGACTCTGGAAAGGAAGTGCATTAAATCTGGGGAGAAAACTGTTTTAAGTGCATTTCGGAGGAAGGTTCAGTCATTTTTTCCTGCTCTCTCTCACCTCCACGTATTTTGCACAACCGCATCCATGTACCCCTATATTTACAGGTTCTACAAGCACTTGAAAACAATAGTACTTTTGGTTTATGACATCGCCGTACAATCAGCTGGAAGTGTTGGCGACCAACTCAATAGATGCAAACAGCACTTTTGAACACCTCTAACACCTTTAATTAGCTCACTATACAATATGGTGAAAAATGAAAGCGTTTTATCTCCCGCCTGTCCACCGACCAGAACGCCAAATCTGAGGTGTGACGGGCAATGTGAGGCATACACCAGCGATGCTCGGCATCTTACCTCAAAGCCACTGATCCTCTCAGCAGCAGGAAGCCAGGATGAATCCTTAACTCGTGTCGTTGCAACGTCCTCCGTTGACCTCTAAAGATACAGGTAGGCTTGTCACAAGAACAAGCCTCCTGGATCGGCAAGGCTGCTTGACGCTATTACCAGAGACGCTCCCCTATGATAGATATTTAGGAAAGCCGCACAAGGCCTTCAAAAAACCTGACGATTGATTATGTTCTTTAAGCCAGTCAGCTTCTCACGACAGGAACACAGCCAACTACAGCCCACAGCCTGCCGCTGAACCCGATCCATTATCTCGTGGCGAGCATTCGAGCCCATCTGCCTCAAATGGCACAACGCTTTAAAACGCCGAGAAGCAAACTGATCACGTTCGTCGCAAGATGCTGTGGCCAGCCACGATTCTCACGACTGGAAATCAGCCTAGTTATTTGCTACTTTACACTATTCAACACTCGGGGCATTGGGAAAGGCACCGTGTCACCACTTATCTGTGACGTCAGCACTGGTATGGTAAAGCCTGTAGTATATTCTGTCACTTGATAGAAACCAGTGTCCTAGAATTGACGACTTTGGGTGTAAATCACCCTAAAACGAAAACCGAGCTAACTTGACACCATCAAGCATCAGCAACGCTCCACAGAACCCGTACACCTATAGCTATATCCTGCATTGCCCATATGTGAATCATGCCATTGTATGCACAGAGCAAAGGCGCCAGGTACCTTCAAGCCCGAGAGCCCAGCGGCTCCAGCCGCTTGCATGCATCAAGTTCGGTTTATTTACAAAATGCATCACAATCTACAGTTGTGTGCCAGATGCAAGGTTTTCACGCATCCCTTTTTGGGTCACACCACGTTAACACAAGCAAAGCAAAGCAAAGCCTGGCAGATAATTTTAGTCCAAATATTTATTTTAACCGAAGTAACTTGACCGCTAAATTGCACCACCTCCAAAATGTAGCAATGAAAAATCCAAGAAATGCTATCTAAATAAAATATAAAAGATTAATATCACCATTTCAGTACTCATTTTCACGAATCTTAAGTCAAATCGGTGGATTGCAAAATGCGACCAAAAAACATTCAATTCTTTATATTTATTTAGGTAATCACTTTTGTTTTTCTTGGTCCCTTGGTCTGGAGTGTGATTAAATGTTATGTTTTACTTATTTTCTGATTGTCTTTAAAGACACCATCTTCAGCTTAAGATATTGACCAAGTTATCTGCAAAACGTGCCATCAGCAAACTTGCGCACATATTTCATGTAATCAATTAGATTAATTCGCCAGCCGCCTAAACATGCTTGATATGCACCCAAGCGTGAATAATTCGTAGGCCATGAAAGAGGCAATTTGAAACACGGAGGTTATTTCTACCGCCATTTTTGACTTGTTAAACCCCCAGTTAGTCGGTTTTTGGGCTCATGGCGGGGCTCAATAATAAACATAAGCCAATGCAATTCCATTTCCTCGCCACGTTATACAGCCTGCCATACATAGCTTTAGGGCGGACCAGGCGCAGCTAATGCAGAAGTGTTTGGTAGCGGAATTCTGCTCTACGGAACTGCTTTCTCATGCAGACCTCCTCTTACTTATTTCGCCTTTTAATGTTATCGTTTGGTGTGCATGACTGATATATATTTTGTGGGTGGGTTGGATGACCCAGTCTATCAGCAAAGCATGCGAGAGATGCTGGCTTTTTGTGGTGGGGGGGAGTAAAAATAATTCTGCCCTTAAAAAACAGTACATTTTTTATGGGGCAACTAATTCCTGATCTTACTTGCTTTCACTTCGAACACATTATTTGTGGCCAGATTTAGTCATTTTATATTTTAGACCATCGACTTCTGTTTATAAGACAAATTGTGATGCCACAAGACATGCAATGAAACTATGTTTTTCCATACTCTTGATAATTGGCCTCAAAATTGTGGAAGTGGTCCCTCATGTCTGCTTTAACAGGATGCTGCTCACAGTGCCGTGGTTCGCTGACTGGCAAGTGACTGTACTGTAGATATGCATATGAGGTAGATATTATTTTTAGCAAAAGAGCATCCCATTTTAAATGTGAAGCCAACATCTCGATCTTGAAGTCATTAGATATGAATAACCAAACCTACATGAATGCCTTTGCTGCAGCTGAAAAGGCAGGGAGCAAAACTGGTTTGTGGCCATCTATAAGTTATGTTGCATCTGGAGGAGGGAGATTGTTTTGTGCAGTATACCCACTATTGCCCTTGACAGGGGCTAACCATGACGATCAGGATAAGTTGTTCAAAGTGGTCTGAAGGGCTTTGATGCGTGTGTTGTTAACTTTGTCTGGTGTCAAGAAACTGACACAAATGAATTGAACCAAACACAAGTTGAAAAGGGTCAAAAACAAGCTTATCATGTTTGTATTACAAGTGCTACTGTCAAGAAATAGATGAGGTGAGTTGAGATGATGTTCAATATATGGGCTGCTCCAAGTAAGTTTAAGTTGGTTAATTGCATGGCAAGTGGAAGTAGGAATCTTGCAAGAATTAGTGACTCACAAATGCCGCCGTGATGCAAATAGGTTAGACAGGATGAGACGAAGTAAGGTTTCTTTAGGCTACGCTTAGCTAGGTTGCTTTCATGGAAATAAGCATTGGTATTTTGAAAGAAATGGTGACATAATATTTGTAAATCCTGACCCCATCTTAACAGAGGCCAGAGGTATGTTTGTTGTGTTTGATTCGGTGACATTTGGTGATGTCTGTTTACTCATAAATTCCAGCTTTTGTGAATCGAATTTGTTATGCTCGCACGGCCTTTTGTGATGAAATTTTCCGCTCGTCCACACATGCTCGCGCTGCGAGCCTTAGCAAGCACAAACCAGTACTAAGTTTTAAGATATACTAAGCATCCCAGCTAAACTTCGTCTAGCTGGTATAGTGCGTTGTAATGTGGTCTGGTCTGTTGTAATTTGGTTCCATTTTTGCTATTTTGTCACCAAGTTGCTTACAAAAGTGTGCGTTTTTGTTACCGGTCAAATCCAGCACATCAGAAGCTTTTTCATCCCTAGTTCCTGTCATCAGTAAGCATCGCAGACCTCATACCGACCGTCCAATCATTGGGTCATCATCCGACTCTCGCTCGATGATGATTAGTGGAACGGCTGCTCGAAAGTTAGCAGATAACTCTGATATACCTAAAAGTTTGGATAGAGTTCCATGATAATTAGGCAAGGTGACGGTAATAGACGAAAGAGTATTACAGGTTGTGT